TCACCATACACACTGAAATCATCCATGAAAACTTCTATTATTTTCTCAACATACTCAGAAAAGATGCTTACCATACATCTTTGGAAAGTCGCAGGTGTATTGCACAACCCAAATGGCATTCGTCTGTAGGCAAAGGTCCCGAACGGGCACGTGAAGGTTGTCTTCTCTTGATCCTCCGGGGCAATTGCTATCTGAAAGTATCCTGAAAATCCATTCAAAAAGCAATAATAAGCCCTACAAGCTAAACGTTCAACCATTTGGTCAATGAAAGGGAGAGGAAAATGGTCCTTTTTTGTGACGGCGTTCAGCCTACGGTAGTCTATACATTGCCTCCATCCAGTGGGTTTGCGCACTGGCACGAGCTCACCCGTTTGGTTGGCCTCTACCGTCACTCCTGCTTTCTTTGGCACTACCTGGACCGGACTCACCCAAGGGCTATCAGATATTGCAAAGATGATCCCCACCTCTAGCAATTTTAGAATCTCTTTCTTTACAACTTCCATCATGAGGGGATTGAGCCTTCTTTGAGCCTGCCTAACAGGTTTGGCATCGTATTCTAGCCTAATCCGGTGCATACAGATGGCCGGACTGATCCCCTTAATGTCTGCGATTGTCCAGCCTATCGCCTCTTTATGCTCCCGAAGGACCCGGATCAGTTTCTCCTCCTGGATTTTTGACAGTGCCGATGAGATAATCACCGGGAGTGTCTCATTATCACCTAGATATGCATATTTCAGGTGCTCTGGTAGAGGTTTCAACTCCAGTACAGGTGCCTGCACCACAGATGACAATACCCTCTGGTGAGGCTCGGGAGTAAAAATAGGTAACACTTCATACCTTTTCGTGGTAGTCTGCAATGAGTGTAATGCACCTATTGTGCATTTTAAATCCTCACTCCACTCCACCTGAGGAGTTGTCTCCAACTCGAGGTGCTTGGTTAAAGCCACGTCCAGCTCATCCCTGCCATCAGTTTCAAACACTTCCTGCACTACAGGGTCAATAGCACTCACAGAAAAAACTGAGCTAAAGTTGGAGTTCGAGGGGTACTTCATAGTATCAAAAATATTGAAATGCACAATTTCCCCATCAAACTCCATGGACAGAATACCCTTATTAACATCAATTTTCGTCTGTGCTGTGCTCATAAATGGTCTACCCAATAACAGAGGTGAGGGATCAGGGGAGTGATCATCATCCATATCAAGTACATAAAAATCAGCTGGAAACACCAAATCATTAACTTTTACCAACACATCTTCAACCAACCCATCAGGATATGCATTAGTTCGGTCAGCTAATTGAATGATTATTCCAGTTTCTTTTAATGGACCTAATTTTAGAGAATCATAGATAGACTTAGGCATGACATTTATTGATGCTCCCAGATCCAACATGGCCCTTCTGATCACAGTACTACCTATCTTACAAGGAATAGTAAACATATCTGGGTCCCCACACTTTGGTGGGAGCTTTCTCTGCAGGACCGCTGACACATTCTCCCCAACAATGACCCGTTCATCTCCCCTCAATCGCCTTCGGTTGACACACAAGTCCCTTAGAAACTTGGCATATTTTGGTACTTGTTTGATGGCGTCTAAGAGGGGGATATTTATCTCAACCTTGCGAAAAACCTCCAAGATCTCCTTCTCCTTATCCTGTTTCTTTGATTTTTCCAACCTGCTAGGAAAAGGAGGCGGGTTAGTTTTAACTGTAATTATTGGGTCAGGAAGTACCTTTGGATCTGCACCATTGCTGTCCTCCCTTTCGAGCTCATTTTCGATCTTCTCTTCATCCTTGTCCTTGGGAATCACCGGTTCAGACCCCTGAATTTCTTTCCCACTCCTTAGGATCATTGCGCTCACGTTCTTCGGATTCAACTCCGGTTGAGATGGAAGCTTCCCTTGGTTCTGGGACTCCAAACGGTTCATTCTGGTGGCCAATTGACCTATCTGATTCCTTATGTCTTGCATTTCGGAGTCCGTCTTTTGCTGATTTTGCATAATAGCTGCCTCCGTCCTTTGCTGATTCTGCGCCATGGTTGTCATCATTTGTTTCAGCATCTCATCCGTAGATGAACCAGATTGAGGGGGCGGAGGGGGTCGGGGTTGGTATTGCTGCTGGTACCCTGGTGGCTTATTCGGCACAAAGTTAGACTGCCTGTTCGGCGTAAAGTTGGGTTGCCTATTCCCTCCATAACTGAGGTTGGGATGATCTCTCCACCCGGGGTTGTAGGTGCTTGAGTAAGGGTCGTACTGCTTCCTTGGCGCGGGCGCGTGGTCAGCCATATTCACCTGTTCTGCAGTTTCTTCCTGAATCATTGGGCACATGTCTGCAGAGTGACCTACACCAGTGCAAATCCCGCATACCCTGGCTTGTGATGCATTTCTCACAGCCTGTTGCCTAACGAACGCAGTCAACTCATTCAGCTGCTGCTGTATAGAGGGTGTCTCTACCTCATTCACCCTACGTATTGGGACATCATCTCTTGTACTGAATTGCTGTGAATTCTCTGCCATCCCCTCTATTAACTCCCGTGCTTCTTGAGGGGTTTTGTTCACCAGGGCCCCTCCACTTGCAGCATCAATGATGCTCCTGTCTCTAAAAATGAGCCCCTCATAGAAATATTGTATGATCAACTGCTCACTTATTTGGTGATGGGGGCACCTGCGCAACAAACTCTTATACCGTTCCCAATACTCGTAAAGTGACTCCCCGGGATGCTGCTTGATCCCACAAATTTCTTTCCTTAGACTCGCAGCCCTGGACGCAGGAAAATATTTATCCAGAAATTTTTTCTTCAATTGACCCCACGTGGTGATGCTACCTGGTGACAGGTAGTACAGCCAGTCCTTCGCAGAATCTTTCAAGGAGAAAGGGAATGCCCTCATTTTTATCTGCTCTTCTGTGATTCCCGGGGGTTTCATACTATTGCAAACGACATCAAACTCCTGCAGATGCTTATACGGCTTTTCACCTGGTAAACCATGAAAAGAGGGTAAAAGCTGAATCAGACCAGATTTTAGTTCAAATGGAATGTTGTCATTTAAAGCAAGGAAAGTAATGCACAAAGGCTGCTGAGTTAAATCAGGAGCAGCCAACTCCCTTAATGTTTGTGCATTAGCCATGGTGAACTCCTCCTGGTCAGAGTCACTCGAAGTGTTACCAAACGAATCTGTTGGTTCAACTTCTGACTCGGGTCTTTGAGATGTAGCACTAGAGTGCTCTTCTCTGAGCTGTCTGGTTTCCTTTCTCGTTCTACGCGCGGTCTTCTCTACCTCAGGGTCAAAAACCAAATCACCTGTGCGAGAAGATCGAGGCATACACTAGAGGAAAACCAAAAAATTAGGACAAAAATTGAATTTAAAAAGAAAACAAATAATAACGCCAGTCCCCGGCAGCGGCGCCAAAAATTGGCAGGTCGTCAGCCTGCGCAATAATAATAATAAAAATGGAACCTAGCTACCACTAAAAGCAGTCAATAATTAATCCTAGGTACTGGAGCAGGGACTCTAGGTGTGCAATGGGTTACTTGATTCACCCTGTTCCCGAAGAGTTTGCTTAACCCGATATACCAAAATTAATTAATTGACAAAAATTACTAAATAGTAGACAGTGGCAAGTAGGGTCGTCTCCTCAGGGACTGGAGATATCTGTCTCTTTCAAAGTCCAATTGATAAAAGGGAATTTCACCGGAATGCAACTAAAAACAATTAAACAGTTTAACTAAAAATGAATAAATAACTAGCGCAAATATAGCAGGAATTTAATCAGGAATAAATAAATTCTAGCCAAGGATACAACTACTCAGGCACAGTCCATTCATCCGATCATTGATGCAAGAGAGGTTCACTTAATTTATTAATAGACTAGTTATAGCCATCGAGAAACTCTAATGACCAATTTTTCCTTAATTTATAGGTGACCAAGGTACGACCATTAATCACCCCTAACCAGAAAAGTACTCCTAGGTACGACCATAGGAATTAATTTTCTAATTGCATTAATAACTAGAAAAACCTACCCCTAATCAATAACAAGCTACGAGGGTTATTTAAATTAGATTGCACATTCCCCTAATGTGTAAACACACCAGTTGCCACTAATATTAATCAATCAACCAATTACGGATTTAATTGACTAAATTGGCATGAGATTAATAAATCAAATTGAACATCGGGCCCTTGACATCCAATTAATAAAATAATCCCATGAAAATTCAAGCAGATAACGTGCAAATATTAATAAATAAAGGAACATGTGTAAACTAATTAGATCTCACAGATTTTTGGGACTGCGCCGTCGAGTTGACCCTTGACTAGATGAAAGACTTAGCCACGCCGCATAATTAAATCACCACATGAGTTAATAAATTGCGAAGGCATTGTTTTGTACTAAAAAGTAAGGAATGAAGGAGGTTTTCCCCGTTGGGGAATATTGTCAAACACCTGGCGTGTGTCAGAGGCCAGTCCCAGGAGAAAAAGAAAAACTAACTAAAGACTAGGCTGAGAAGCTCAAACTAAAAAGCGGTCCTTTGCCTCCGTACGTTAGTTCCCTATTTAAAGCCAAAGGAAAGATATGCAGTGGTCCCCACCAATTGGTCACAAGCTGCCCCATTTCTTCTTAGTTCCCCCAGGCTTTGTACGTTGCTTTTTTCCTTTAAGAACCAAAGGACCAAAGCCCTTTTCCTTTCCTCCGTGGTCCCCACCGAAGTCAAAGGCCCAAGCCTTCAAGTTCTCTAAGTCTCTGGTTGTTATCCTCTTGGTCAACAAGAATAAAGGGATGGGAGTCCAGTTCTTTTCAGCACTGTGGCCCTGGCCTGTGACCCGCTGGAAGACTCAATTTTCTTCAGAAAATCCCTCATGTTTGGTAGTTTTCTGTTCTATCCCTGAAATAAAGGCCACAAACCAAATATAAGTAGATATGTGCAATTAACACAATAATTATCAGGGATGAAAGGGGAAATTAATAATAAAATTACTAACAAATTATACCCTATCATATTATATCTTCAACTCACTGTAAATGAGATTCCTGTCACATGGGACAATAAATTCTTCTCTTATGCAGCCCCAGCCCTTCCCGAAATCATCGAACTTTCCATGGCCGGCGAAATAGAACAACAAAACATCACCGGCCTTGGCTTGCTCAATCATCCAATCAATCGCGCTCCTTATAATACCACCTGTGGGTCGCAAAGGGGAGTCAGGCTTATCTGTGAGAACCACCACATTCTTCGGCGGAAACCCACACCTAGTTGTCAGCAGTTCTTTCATTGTTTCCACATCATTATAGCAGCCTTCTAGTCTGTCAGGATCATCTGGATAGCAGCATCCAACTAGGATAGCTAATTTGGCCATAGATTTATCACTCAAAATCTTGTGCACAAACCACTAATTATCAAGGAAATATAACTTTAAAATGATTCAAAATGAAGGATGAAGGCAGCATATTAGTTGTTCGTATTTATAAAGATTTGAGGACACTAGGTTGGAGGAAAATATTATTGTAAGGAGTTGGTGTGACAAATGTAGGTTCTAACCTTCTCCTTCTCTTATTGGATGTCTCAAGTAATTCTTGGATGCCATACGTAATTCTTGGGATAGGTGAAATGCTACTCCATTTCGCAATTACCTCGATAATTTATAAATTTAAACAGTATGTATTATTAAGTTTTGTTAATTTAAAAAAACTCCTTCTCTCCTCCTTCTCTTTTCTTTCTTTTCAGAAAAAAAACTCTCTATCTAAACCTCCTTTCAACTCTCCCACGGGAGAGTGCTCAGATTTTCCTAATATTTTTCCATGGGAGGAACCCTCTCTATATATATATTTTTTATTTGTGTGAACAAAATCTCTTATAGATTTTTTAGTGAGAGTTTCTTCTCTCCTTAGGTTTGTCTAGTGAAAGTTTTCTTCTTTCCTATTCTCTCTGAGGGATTTCTACTGAGAGGATAATTTTTTCATTTTTCTTTTATTGGATCTGAGTTTTTTTAGATTTTGATTATCATATCTGAAATTTCTTGCATCTATTTGGCAGATCTCACCATAATATTTGGATTTGAAGAAGTTAATCAGTAGATCTGGCGATTGAAAGCATGCACAGATATCTGTGGAATTACAATTATTTTATCTCATTTTTTAAATTTAGAGTTTTATAATGTAATTTTTATTGATCTTCAGATCTGGAGTATCCTTTCTTCAGACTGTTCTTTGATATTTGTGTATGTTTGATGATGTAATTTCTTCTATTAGTACATATTTTAATGAAAATATGATATTTTATTAGAAAAAATTTTGTTAATTTGCCTCACATTTGCACCTCGATCTCCCAAATTTTCTATAACTTGCTTTACCTTTTACGTTTACCCAATAAATTTGTTCAACTTTCATTCACTCTTTACGTTTATCCATACAGAGATTAAATTATTAGTTCTATCCTATCGAAAATTTAAAAATCAACACAAGATAGGGTGACTATCAAAAATTTGTAAGTTGAACTCTGGTGGCAAATTAAAAATGGCCTCGTTTCCCTCCGTTATTGACTTGCATTTACCAATGCTGTTCCCTCCTTAACATCTACGCCTTGAACAGAGCTATTAAACTTCACGAGTAGCTCGAAAGCTCGTTAGAGCTCGGTTCGATAAGGCTCGAGCTCGGCTCATTAGTTGCGGTAAACGAGCCAAGCTCGAGCTAGAATGTGCTCGTTTAGTTAACGAGCCGAGTAAGCTCGACTCGTTTGATATCCAAGTAGCTCGTTAGAACTCGTTAATAAAGGGCATATTTCTTATTTTAGAAGTCAAAAGTATAAAAATTAAAATTATAGATTTTTATTGAGGTTAATTTGCACGAGTTCGAGCTCGAACTCGAGCTCGTACAAACTCGACTCATTTGTGATAAACGAGTCGAGCTCGAGATCGAGCTCGAGCCACATGTATATTTGACGAGTCGAATTCGAACACATTTTAAACCTCGTTTGCCTAACGAGCTCGAGTCGAGTTCGGCAGTCAAATACTTGGCTCGACTCGGCGCAATTAACAGCCCTTGGCCACATGTCATTATCGGGGAGCGGAACTATTTTTTGTTGAGGGCAGGCAATTACCTTCCCCAACTTCGGATAACAATAAATTTGGCTAGTACATAAAAATTGTTAATTTCATTTCTTTGCCTCACATTTGCACCTGTGAATTTTCTAAAAATCACTTTACTCGTTACGTTTGCCCTTTAATTTTTTGAATTTTCCCTCATTCTTACATTACTCAAAGAGAAAATAAAATTTTAACTCTATCATAATGAAAATTTAAGGAAGAATAGGGAGAATCTAAAAAGAAAAGCTTTAAATTAATTGCAGTGGCAACCAAAACTTGTCTTGTTTGCATTCATTATTGACTTGTAATTACCGATGCAGATAAGACTCCCATTTCGTTCAGATGTTTGTTTAATCTCATAATTCAAACACAAATAAGGTGCTTAGTGTATTTACAGTCCCCTGAATATTGTAATGCGTGATAGAGTCAAGATTTTACAGTCCTCTGAATATTGTAATGTGTGATAGAGTCAAGAAAGGCAGCTGCCCTTTCTTTTCTCTGTTACTTCCTTGAAACTTGACACTACTTTGTCGAATTTATAAATGTTCTAGTCATATAATACTAATTGTCTTAGAAGAGGCCATGACATTTGGTTATATCTATTAAAAAAAATAAGGCAACTTGTAGTTTTAAAATCTATATTCATGGATAAATGGTTAGAGATGTCACTGCTTGTTAACTACCCATGATAACTATCAAAATAAACAAATATACAAAGCACCGCTAATTTTAAAAACTTAGATGAAATTTTAAAAAATTTAGTGACTAAAGGTGCACTTCATCTTTTATAAAAATATATTAACAACAAAATTGTGCAGTGTTTGGCATAGGAGGAAAATATATCAATATGGCCATTTAATTTATATCTCAATTTTTCAAGCTTGATTCTATATTTAAAAAAGAGGATAAAAAAGAACATGAACAAAATAAAAAAAAATCATAATGTGTATTTATAGGCTTACAATATTTCTAGGCATGACTCATAATCACTATTCTATCGAACATAATATTTAGATGGTCTCTTGGTAACCAAAATTGTGTGATCAAATACTAATTAACTTTCTGGATAGAACCAAGGAGGATTTGATCTAATGGATAAGGTTGTGTGTTAGATTGTGAGTGGTTTCCATTTCTGTCCTTCATTGCCAGATATGCCCTAATGCTTTAGAAGGTGCATTGTTTGTTGCGGTCATTTCACGATGATTAATTAAATGAGGCATTCGTCACTTCTTGCAATAAATGGTCATAGCTTCTTCTTCTTCTTCTTTTTTTTTTTTGTTTCCTCTATTGCTTGTCTTATAATTGTGCTCCGCAGAGAATCTTGTCAATGTTCCAGGAATTGGGGCGCGCTTGCGTACTAGCGCTCCTTTGATTGCTAAGTGTTCCGGTTTTCTACTAGCTTTGGTTGTTTGTAAACTTTTGATGACTATTTTTTGTAGTTGGTTGTTCTTAAATATACTTCTCTGTTACTGCATGATCCGTTTGGCTTGTTCTTGCATGATTCTTTTTTTTTTTTTGCAACGATAGGATTGTTATAACCTAATCTAGCCTAATCTAGGGGGAGAGGAAGGAGGACCGATGTGAGTACAGACTCCATCGAAAAAGACCAATTAAAACCGCCACATATAGTGACAAATTGGTGGGAGGCAAGGGTTGAACTCTTGACCTCCTGCATCACCAAAGACACCACCAGGCCAAAGGCCCAAGGGCTGTTCTTGCATGATTCGTTTGGTCTGTTTTTGTCTCTATTGAACTGTTATTACATCAAGCTGTTTTTGTATGTACTCTGCATTTTTTTTATTGTACAATGTCTATCTTCTTGGTTTGGTCTACTTTTGCATGATCCGTTGGGTTTGTTTTTGCCTTTCTTGAACTAATCATCGAACAAACTTGGTGTTATTATATCAGTCTTTTTTGGTATCTCCTCTTGTTATGGATCACAGGGACTAAATTGTAAGCAGTCAAGAGTTCGGGGGGAAATATTGTAAGCAGTCAAGAGTTTGAGGGATAATATTGTAATTCATTTACGTTAGTTAGCATAAGGGCGGGGAAAGTAGTTAAAGGGCATAACTACCCATGCATGCAGACAAAACCAGTTTGTTAGAAGGAAGATCTGGGAAATCACCGCCTATATATGTTGGATGCGCAACAGTAGCTAGACACGGATTTTGTATGATTCCTTTTCTGAAATCTAAATAATATTCCCTCTCTCCCAATTCTCTCTCAGTCCCCAACTTCTTCTTCTCCTCTTTCTTCTGGCTCAAGTCTTAACAATGGTATTAGAGCCCGCGACCCTCGGATTGCAGGCTTCAATTACTCAAACTATCTTCTTTTGAATCTTCTTTAACATATCTCTTGGTTTGCTCTCAAACAGCAATCAGCAGCTGAATCCGCCAATGGCCGAGGGCACTCGCCTGAAAACTCTCGAGGAACAGATATGCAAACAGGAGACCAGGTTGCAGGGATTCATCGATTCCACGCAAAAGACGTTAAAGACTCTGGAGGACAACTTTGAGTCGCATTCTGCAAAAATGGAGTCCAACTCAACGGAGATAAGAAGTTGCATGGCGGCTATTGTGGCTCAGCTCAACTAGATGAAGTCCAGCCACAATGACCGCGGCATCCTCTCAATACCTACCGGCTCTACTGAACGAGGTTTGACCTCTGGTAGTGGTAGACGAGGGGAAGGAGAATTAGGACAAGGTGAGAGGATCGACAAAAGTCCTTTCTTTCGGGGACTCCAAAGCTGGAGTTCCCCCATTTTGAAGGACGGAACCCTAGGGAGTGGGTCAGGAAGGCAGAAAAAATTTTTTGGGTCTACCAAATACCTGCTAGTTAGATGATGAGCATAGCTGAGCTCCACTTGGTTGGGAAAGCAGATGTTTGGTTTTAGAGTTTCAAAATGGGACGAAGGATGATACAGTGGGAGGATTTCAGTGAGGAGTTGTGCCGGAGGTTTGGTTAGATTGGGGGACCAGAAGCAGTAGGGGAATTCAACAAATTGCAGCTGACCTCTACAGTCATCAACTACCAAGAAAAATTTGAGGAGCTAAGTGCGTTGGTCTTGGCCAAAAATCCAGGTTTGAGCGAGCCTTATTTTATTTCAAGTTTCTTGAGTGGATTGCTCGAGAAAATCAAGACAATGGTCAAGGTTCATAAGCCTGCCACCCTACAAGGCATTTGAAGTCTCCAGGAGTCAGGAGATTGCAATGGAAGCTTTGGTCAAGAAGCACAAGTCCGTGACTAGGGGAGGAGCATCATCCGTACCATCCACT